GGAGAGAGAAGAGGGAAAAAAGAATGCGAGAGCTTACGTACTCACGACAACGGGACTTCGTGCGACATAGTTGAGTGGCTGTCACTCTGCTGCCACGGAACGCGCATGAGCAAGCGAACGACCGAGAGAGAGAGGAGAGAGAGAGGATCGGCGGCGGAGATCGAACACGGGTGGAGGCACGTGCAAACAGAGGATGGCGAGAAGGCTGTGAGGGGTAACTGGCATTGCCTGTACGGACCAAAGACGCCCATGATTTTTTTTCCCTCCCCGTCCACCATACCCACCACTATCCGTACTACCGGAAACAAAAGTGGCCTTCCTGCCGGCCATCAACAAGAAGAAGTCCGGGTGTGGGCCCGCGCGGGCCCACAAAATATTTTGAGGTCATGGCAGTCCAACCCTGTCCCGACCTTCGAATTTGTCGCTTGTGGCGACAAGAAATGTTGCTGCATGGTTGGGTCCGTGTACTTGAGGTTTAAGCAGTCGATTAAACCACCAGTACTCCGCCAAGCCATTTTTCTCCGATGCGTCTGTTTTTGCACTGCTAGTTTCGTGCCTCCACCTACCGGACAAAAATGGCTGACAGTGCCAGCTAAAAGGAGACCCACACTGCTTAGTCTTTTTTTGGTGGGCAGCAGGGTTGCATCCCTGCCGACCGCCGACCCTGACCGCCGACCAGTAGGGCCGACCGGTCGGCCGTCTGCCGACCAGTCAGAAAACAACAATCCACTGATTTTTTCCAAATCTCAGTTGAGGGCTGTACTGCGCTTGCAGAGTACAGCCCAAACCCGCCGAGAAACTTTTGGGGATGGGGGCGGGGTTGGGGTTGGGGTTGGAGTATGGACCGGGCATAAGGGGGGGTATAGGGGTATAGGGGTATAGGGGTATAGGGATGATACAGGGGGTATTGGGTGGGGGTACTGAGGACGTTGGGGGCGGTTTGGGGGTGTTGAGGGGGTGTATGGGGGTATTGGGGGCCACCTTTTTTGCAGGGTGCCGACGACCCCCGACCGGTAGGTGCCGACCAGCCAATCGGTCGGCGGGTCGGCAGCCGATCAGTCAAGGGCCGCCGACCATCGGGGGTTGCAACACTGGCGGGCAGGGCATTTCCAGGTTGGAAACAATGTTGCCCAAAAGTACTGTTGGTTTGAGCCTCAATTATAACTCCTTTTCAGACCACTGAACAGTAAATGCAGAAGGATATCACACGTGGCTGTCCCTTCTATGATCATAATAACATAATAGATACAGTCAGGGACTATTGTTTATAAAACTTTATAAGTTTATATACTGTCTAGCTAATCTCCCTAGACACACACCAGTCGCATGCAAAGGTGATGCACACGCGCACATTCACAGGGAGGGGAGGGGGAGAGAGTAATGTGCTCCATAAGCTGCGAAATTGCTACAAGTGCACTCACATACACCAGGAAGTGAAACAGATCCTCCTGATCCCTGCATTGCGGCATTGCTATGGTGCACAAACACCCACAGCACAAGCGAGAAGCCATGAAAAAGAGAGAGAGGGGGTTGGGGGGGGGAGCGAAATGGGAGGCGGGCCACCCACTCCCTGCACTGCAGAATCCTGCAGTTAATGCAATCCAGCACAGCAGGGATTAAGTACTATTAACAGATTTTGCACGGTTTATAACTTCAACAAATCCACCAAGAAATGCTGAATAGCTCACGTTGTTCGACTACACATTCACATTCCAAGAGAGGAAACACCCGAGAGGCCCAAATTGCAGCTTTACAGTTGTTTGCAGATTGCATGAACCTGTCCCGATTTTGAGCAAGGGAAACATGGGATGAAGTATCCGAATGGCCAGACTGCCTAGCAACGTTGTGCATTGAGCCTCACTGCTCGTCACCTTGAGCACACACACACAATGAGAGATCACAAGTCCACACTGGAGACCAGAGATGCGAAGTCCAGATAAGCGCAACTTAGAAATTCCAGCGAATTATCATATCAAGCAGTTTGACAGTTCCAGTCACCAGCGCTCATCAGCGCAGAGTTCAGCAACCCAATTCCAGCATCCTCTTCCAAGGTAGGTGACTCTCTTCACCCTGGAGGCCTACGGCTGGCCCTTAAGCCCCAGGATTCGAGGCGTCGTTTCGGTCCTTTCGGACCTGCAGTCCCCAAGGCTGCGCCTTCGGCCAGGTTCACCAGGAGGCAGGCCTTCCTGGGCCAGGTATGGGGTCTGGACGTCCAGTCGGGACCCAGACCCATTAGGCCCACGTTTTGGGCACAGGACCGTAGGCACACAGGGGCAGACAGGCCCGCCCAGCGCTACTTATAGCTGGGCCACGGCTGGGCAGAGACACCCTGGGAGTAGCTCGCTTCTTGGGCTACACGCTGCTGGAGCAGCGGTGCGACACTGCGGCGCTACGCTAAGAGGTAGAGGTAGAGATGTAGGTAGGCAGGAGGGGCGGAGGCCATACCTGTGTCGGCGGTACTTACCTGGGCACCATAGCTGCGCTCCACGCCAGCGACCTGCACAGGGACCACGATAACAGTCAGTACACAGCGGCGGTTACCTGCAGGTGAGACAGCGAGGAGGACAACATCTTCTTCTTCGTCTCGCCCTCCATCTCTTCACAATCCTCTCCTTCTTCTTCTTCTTCTT